GTATAGTAGGCCAAAACCTCCTTTCTAAGGAGAGGCCTATGTCCAGCAGTGGACTAGTATAGGCTGTTGACGATGATGATGATTCATGTTATTAATCAAAAGAATATATTATTAGATATCTAACATTTGTGTATGGAATCAACGGGATAAAAGTGGCTCGTGTTGGTTACATAGTAATATATGCATAATTATAAACTGTGATATTAATGGCAGTAGACGATGGCTTGACCACTGTATTGTGACTAAAGCGGCATGGCAATCTGTTATTGGCTTGGACATAGATTATGGTTGTGGTTGATTATGGTTTCCTGGTCTGATCACTTACCTATGATTATCAAGTGTAACTTAAGAATATTGATACCAAAAAATCATACTAGGAGGTAAATAAAGTGGCTTGGTTTGCACGTAGTGATACGTAGAGTGGTAGTTACCATGATTTGTGTCACAGCTATCTTAGAGAAATACACTTTCCCGAGATGTACATAGAGTGCGCTTGACAGCATGTGTAACATTACGGCGCACAAGAAGGAACTTGATTTTTTGTATAGTAAGATTGTGTCCGTACTATCAAACGCTGCTATAGATACTTTTGAGTGTAAGCTCCTCTAAGGCAAGCTCCTGTGGTTGGATGGAACAGATACATATGTGCGGGATGCTCACAGGGACGCTCGGATGAAATTCCAGGCGTGGAGACTAAACGGCAAGCCATCTCATCATCAAATAATTATCTAAGTTTATAAAACTCAATGATGCTCAGTTTGGGTTTAAGCCTAATCTATCCACTGAGAGCGCAATTTTAGCTCTCAAGCAGACTGTTCAATATTAAGTTGACAGGACCACCTCCGTGTATGCGTGCTTTCTTGATCTCTCGAGGGCATTCGACCTTGTGTCCTATGATGTCCTTTGGAGGAAGATGACATACCCATCGAACTCACGATGTTATGCCAATATTGGTTTTATAATCAAGTTAACAATGTGCGATGGAGAGATGGCCTGTCTGATGCCTATAGATTGGAATGAGGGGTAAGGCAGGGGGGATTGACCTCCCCTATGAACCCTCCTATATGAACGAGCTGATCGTTGAGCTCAGTGGCAGACGTGTCGGATGCTGGATAGATGATGTTTGTGTAAAAAACCTAAGCTACACCGACGATATGGTCCTACTGCGCCCAACGGCCAGCTCGATCAGAAAGGTACTAGGTATCTATGAACAATATGCTAAGAAACATGGGCTAGATTACAATTTAAGAGTGTCTGTATGGTATTTGAGGCCTCCGGTGGGAGTGTGCCACTTATTAGACTGAACGGGGTGCCACGCGAAAGAGTCTCTCAATTTAATAATATCTGGGGCACATTGTTACCGGAGACCTTAGAGACGTCAGGCGCAACATGTTGGTACACAGGTTTGCTCATTGTAGTCGAGAAGTTAAAATCACACTCTTTAAAGCTAATTGCCAGACACTTTACACGAGCAATCTGTGGGCTAGATATGCCAAACGATCGCTAGAGACATTGCAAGTACAATACAATTATTGCTTTAGGATGTTGTTGGGACTGTCGCTTCGCCACGGAGCGAACAAAAGATCTCCACACAATTATACGTACAAAAACCAACTCGCTGCTTGCAGAGGTCTAGTTACAATAGCATCCTAACCATTCTAAGCAATAAGCATGATGCACCCTGGTTGCGTAATGCAATGAGAATACTAGTGAGGTCATGATTATAAAAACCGTTAAGTTACTAATATTAGGATTAAGGTAATTGTTACTAACACATTGGGCCCAGTTGCCACCTAATAAAAGTTTATAATTATTATTATTATTAAGGAAGAGAGAATTGAAAAACAAAATACGTAGATTTTTTAAATCAGTATCAAATATTTTTTTATTGACTCGCATTAAACCTCTAATAAAAGAACATAAATAGTATCTAGGGATATTATTACCGCATCATCTAGATCTATCGCAATCTGTCGATTTTGAAATAAAAAGTTATACCTTAATGAAAAGTACAGGTATACTTTTACCTATTCAAATAATTACTAGATTATCTCGAAAATATTTCTTTTCGATAAGATCATTTTATAAATTATTTAAAAATCATCTGCTAAGATTTCTTCTTTTATTTGATTACTTTTGGACCAATTCTACTTATGTTGGCGTTTCACCAAATTATTTAGTCGCTGGCTAGTGTTGCCTGCCAAGTTCTTTGATTTATTACAATAACTTTAACGTATTATATTAAATTTCTTGTCTATTCTATTTTGTTATTAATAGCTTTATGAAATAATTTCTGTAATTTTTGTAGTAAAAAAGCTCTTTGCGAGAAAATACTTACATCCTTTGATTTAGTCTCTACAAAAAGAAAACTGTCTTTTATCTCTTTAACATAATAGTTAAGTTAAAGTAAAAGTAATTAACATAAATAGTTTAATACACTTACTTTACACGCTGAAACTCAAAAACCTCCAATTTTAAAATTTTATATTTCTACCAACCTCTTCCTACAAATGATTTAAGAGGATTCTCATTCGTCCTTTTGTATGTTAAATTCCATTAAATATTCATTTAAGGACATAAGGTCTTTCCTTACTTTTTACTTATTTGACTGTTACGTTTCCATTAACGAATTTATCTACTAAAGGTTAACTAAACAAAAAAGATGAATAACAATTAAAACTATCAAAAATTCTTCCTTCATTTAGAATCTGCTACATTCAAAAGTCTTTCTATTAGTATAAGCTACTATTATCTACTAACGAATAATAAAGTAAGAATTTAATATCAATAGGTCTTAGAACGTGAATATAGCTCGTGGCTTTCATGTATACGCACTTATACAAGGACGTCTGTTGTTCACGTAAGTCTTGAAGCTCCGGTATTAATATTATAATGCCAAAATTGCTTCTGCATGTCTGAAGAATAAGTCGGAGTAATATATCTGGATTCTCAAACACACTTCGTATCAGTCAACAGCTTAATGATAAATTTCTTTATTGTATACTAAAAACAATTGAAGAATAAAATCAATATGCTTATCTTAAGTGTCTATTCATTTACATATATTACGACCACCACTATGCCCCAGCATGCACGCAGTCATGATTGCTGGACAGGTTTCGTCCGATTAGGCTAGTTAGGACATCGCGTTCAGACCTAGATCCTACCCGGGACAGTCCTCCAGCGTATGGGGGGAGGAGTCTCAGTCGTCTGCGCAGTGTTAGCACTGAGCCGTTACCTCACGTCCGATCCGATTCAGGTACTCACCGAAGCAACCAGGCCCAGTGAGTACCTGCGTCAGTCGATAGGTGACACGATCTCCCTCCCCGTTATCAGGTGCCCCAAGTCTGCCGGCGTTCTCTGTAGTTTCCTTATTAGGGTACCGATACCGATTTCAGTGAGTTCGAGTCCGACATGTTACTTCACCCTCAATTCAGGTGAAGTGATGAAAAAAGGTCCACCTAATTGTCGTAACGGTTTATTCATTATTGAAAATTTTCGCAACATTTTTTTCATATATTTTTCTATATATACTACTTTTGTTAAGAATAACGTAAAAAGTAGTAGTTTAAAATTTCTGTTTAATAATTTAAAACAAAATTGGGTCGTATAGTTATTAACTTATATGTATTGTGTTCTAATACTAGCCTCTCGCTCTACTTGTAATAAAATGTATTTTTGCGTAAAAAATTATGTTTACAACAATATAACTTCTAAGTAATAGTCGTGGGCCGATGAAGACATCTTTTTAACCTAATATATAATTTACTTTTAATATACATCTTCGTAAATGTTTCTTGAAAACCTTATTCAAAGGTCGAAGACTTTTAACAAAAAGAAATTCTATTTGATGTCTGTTGTTTGTTTAAAGGAACACAAAAAAATCTACGAGCGCTAGTCCCTACAGTACAAGAAATCCACTTTAGGAGAGCGGTCACCAAACGATTTTAAAGTTAGTTCAAATAATTGTAACCAACTTTTTTTTTTAAATCTTTATGTAAACATAGGTTTTTAAATCGCAAAATTTATTTTCATAGCCATATAAAGAGAATACATGCTCATTCACAGCTGATATTTAGCTTGAGTTTAAGTTGAATATTTTCACCTAGCATCCCTACCATTCAAGTGGGTAAACACTCAAATGAATAAACTTGTTCCAGCGAGTGCTTTAAGACTAAAGTCCAAAGTTTTCTACACACATACATTACGTACATTAATCAGAAAAGGATAGAGCAATATACAAAAAGCTAAGAAAAGATAAGAAATGTACAGGAGGATATCACGTTTCAGTGCGAAGACTTGAGTGCGAGTCCTGTGAAGGGCGTGTGTGAAGGGCAAAATTAAGAGATTTTCAACACTTGATGACAAATGTATAATGTGCAATTATCTTGCACAAAAAAAAACTTTTTTGTATCTTCTTTTCATTATGTATAAATAAGATTGTTATTATTTTAGATATAAGATATAATATAATATAATAATATAATTTATTGTCTCAAAAAGATACATACATACAGTAAAAACACACATAAGTTATAACAATTCAACATGTACAATAATTTTGTTGACCTCTGGTACCCAAAGTAAGATTTAACTTGTGGTATGGGTACGAGGGCTCTCGTACTTAATTGCAACAGATAGTTAATGTAAAAGTGTAATGTATCGTAGTTGCATACGCTTGAGGTGAATTGCTTGAGGTAAGAATAACCTATAGAAATACATATTAATATTATAATAATATATATCGTATTATTATATGTTTATATACGAGTATATTATGTTACAAAGTCTGTATGTACGATGTTGTGTGTGTGTGTGTGTGTGTGTGTGTGTGTGTGTGTGTGTGTGTGTGTGTGTGTGTGCGTGAGGGATCATTAGAATTATAGAATACTTAGTTTAATCAAATTTTCTGTAGAGTTTCTGTCTTTTCTTCATAAGATTTGGACAAGAGCCATATGGTAACTCGTTTCTTGCATTGCGATCTAGTTAATGGATAGATGTCAGTATTCATTAGCTACATTATATAAGTGGCAGCTTACGACATTAAAGTTGCGCGCAGCTAACGCACTTCTAGAACTTTGGGCTTGGCAGACCTTGCGTGCACGGCGCTTTCTTGTGACTTCAATGTCATATTCCAGACCAATATGTTTTCTGCAAATTGTTTCAAGCACAAAGAGCTGTCTGACAGTAAGCAGTTCATATTCGTGATATAATTGTGCAGTCGAATATCTAATAGGCTTAAAAGTCATTACCTTAAGGACTGCTCTTTGTGCTCTCTCCAGGGGCAGAAGATACGATTTCACAGCTCCACCCCAGATAGATATACAATATGTTAAAACAGATTGACAGAGTGCATAATAAATTGATTTCAGGGTGTCAAAATCAGCTGCGTAACGCAATTTTCTGAAAATGTATATCATCTTGCGGATGCGGGCATTGCTCAGTTGGTATTTCCATGAAATATGACTATCAACAAATACTCCCAGATACTTTGTGTGGGCAGATCTCAGTATAGTTGGGCAGTCGCAGGTATCAGTGGATGTGTATGTCGAACAAGTATGAGCTCTTATATTGAAGGTTTCCAAAGGTGGTTGAGTTTTAGCTGTCTTTGAGAGCGTGATGTAAGTAGTTTTCTTAAGGTTAAGTGTAAGAAGATTGTTGGATAGCATTACACGACTAAGACCGCATTCTGCACGAGTAAACATTAATGGCAAGATTGAGCCAAGGACAAGTATTGCAGTATCGTCTGCATAGGTAATGATAGAAGAATAGGGAAGGGATAGGGTGCACAGGGAATTTATGTAAAGGAGGAAAAGGGTTGGACCAAGGATCGATCCCTGTGGGACACCAAAGAGAAGGGGCTCGTTGCCGCTAACAATGTCGTCTATCTCTATACACACTGTGTCCGAGCGCATATCCGCGGATGCCCATTATCTCCATATCCCGTAAGAGATGTGGAACAGAGACTATCATGCTATCAGCAGTCTTGTTACGTTATTATATATAACCCCTTCATTCAGTCTTGACTAGGAACTAAATAAATAAATAAATCGTACTTTTAGACCTTCATATTAAATGTATTAATTATTATTATTAGTATTATTTAGTTTTTTTTGGTTTAAATTATGTTGTCAACAGGTTTTCGTATTGGATAGATTATTATTTAATGATTGAGAACATCATACGATATTAATGAGCGGAGCAGCGACCATCAACGCACCCGAAACTGTTGGGTACGTTCAGTATATAATAAATATATGTTTTTATGATACAAAATGGGAACGTAATATTTATTACCGTTTAATAAAATAACGCTAGTCAGATTATGACTATGAAGACCTTTAGACCTCATCTTTATAGTTGGTTGCTTTTATTTGACTCCTATATTTATATTTCTTATGAGCGCCATTATTTATTTTTGCTTCGAAGCACAAAAATTAAGATCTAATAAATCATAAGTATGTTTTACCCTTGAGCACCATCTGTTCGCAACGTATGTGTATAAATTATTAAAGCCTTTCTTAAAATGGAACTCTTTTCATACATTTTATCACAAGTTAAGGAATTATAAATATTTTAGCCTGCATTGCCTCATCGCTCAGATATCAGTTTGGAAACAAGCAAATTAATACATTCATACAATGATCATTTTTTTGGTGATGTTAAAATTAGCCGATATCCGTGATGTAATGATTTATTCGTTTGTGGTTTCAGGTACGTTATCAGTCTCGTCATTGAATTGATTTTCCATAAATAATTTGGCTTCTTGGATAAAAATGCTATACAAGCTATAGCATTTTTTTAAGAAGAAATAAAGAAATCCCCTTAAGTAATTGTAATTTTTATGTTATAATATTAGGTAATGATGTAAAGTTACAACAAAACACAACATTTTGTTATAAAATTACAAAGTCTAATTGTTTAATTACTTTGAGCAAATTCAGTATTGCTAGAGAAACAGTAACCATTTTGAATTACCCAGAGCTATTAATTTAAATACCAAGATTAGATTACATTTGCGTCAATTGAACAAGAATAGAAGCCGTAACCTACACAATGGTTCTAGATGGAATAATAACATCAACAGCTTATAAACGTCTACTGCTGGACATAGGTCTCCACCTAGAAAGGAGATCATATTAAAGTAAATTAATATTTTGAATCAGATTCTCTACAGCTGTAATAAAAATTAAATTGAAAGTTAGAAATAAAAACTTTTAAAAAGTAAGTAAACAAATTATATGCCCTCCAACTTTATGATAGGTCATCGCTACGCGGGGTGTCTTTTATTATTCGTTAATTTTTTAGAAGTTTTTGTGTCTAGGTTCATTTTTTTTAATCAAAAAAATATTTTAAACATTTTTATTACCTATTTATTAGTAAAGACGTTATCAAATAAGCTCCCTGTCTACGATTACGTAAATACTTTTCGGGACAAAATTCAAAATTTAAGTTTCAAAATTCTAATAGAAAATCTTGCTAAATTAAAATTTTGAACTCCATATTAATATAGATTTTGTTAGATCAGATGATTCGTTACTAGTTCTGTCTGGGAAATATTAGAAGTAACAGTGTGTCAGGCATGAAATAAAAGTTTTAATGTGAATAAATTATAACTAAGAATCATCCTAATCACTCCAGCTCTTAAAAGACAGACAACCATTAAAATTGATCTATTCGTTTAAAAGCTACGAGGCTACAGACTCATAGATAAACACGTGTTTTTTGACAGGTCAATATTTTCACAACCCTCTTTTGCGTCCCTGGTTAAAAAATGAAATTAATACAGTCATGTATTGCCTCTATTTAATAGCCTTGATAGCCTCTATTTTAATATATTATATTGAAGGCTACAACTATAATATATTATCTTTTTAAGAAATAAGACTGACAGCAATAATATCTGAATAATATTATGTAACTCTTCCTGTGTAATGTAAACCTCCTTTCTAAGGAGAGGCCTATGTCCAGCAGTGGACTAGTAAAGGCTGTGATGATGATGATGATGATTATGTAACTATAGAAATTAAAGTAAAGTAAAAAACAAGGGTAGCTTTTGTTTGTTAAGTATTTGTTGGTTTGTTAAAAATTAAAACTAAGTTAAGTTTTAAGTTTATAGTTGTTTTGTGTAATCGATCTATGTGTGTTGTCATCATATTAAAAAAAAAACAGAAAAATAATTTAAAATATACACAGAACAATTTTAACATGAAATATCTTTTTATCCTTTTATGAAATAACAAAGAAATAAATACTTCAAAGCGCTTTGCGATTCATATTCAGTTGTTAGACTATTTAATTAAATAAGTTTTTAAATTAAGTAAAGTATTACAATTAATTACAAAGTCTACAAAGATTGCAAGCTTTTTTTCACTTGATAAGCTTTTGTATTCCATCTAAAGTGATTAAAAATGATGGCAAAGACGAAAAGAACCACGCCCATTAAAGAAACAGTCTAGGACTATACTTGTCTAGAAAAATAGACACAAGCAGTTCAATTCAAACTTTGATAAACGTTTGACAGAATGGTATTTGTATTTGACTTTGCCATCCCTAAGGTGCAATACTCCATGCAAGGTAGGTTTTGGGATGAATAAAAACTAAGCATATTTCGGGGTGTTAAAAACTATCGAACCTTCGAAATGATGGCCAATTACTTTGAAGCTGTCTTCTTTTCAGATTCCTGCAACGTATGGAATCCTTATTTTATTTATACACATCACTTCTAACTCGTCTCCTTCTTTCTTGGGACTTATATCGGTTTGTTTCACAGACTGTGTCGTTTAGAATGGTGTACATTATAATGCGATGCGTTTACTCACCGTTAATTTGTTTCTTACCTCATAAAACTCATTGACCTAAAATCAATTCTAAGATTCTTACGCAATTGTGGATGCATAAATGTGATAAGAGATATAAAGAACATTGCTATTTCACCTCTAATTATTTCATAGTCAGAGCCATCAATTTGTATCGTGAGCGGGCACCTAAGCAACCTGGGAAATTAAAACATGCTCCAACGCTGTGACTTAAAACAGCGGACGTCTGGCAAAGTAATTTTGATAAAAAAGGTATCATGATCAATACTATGCCAATCATAAATTCCATTGAAAATTGAGAAATGGAGAACCGTCTAAAGTCTAAAAATTTCTTAAATTCTTTACACAGCATGCTAATTAACTACAGATTTATACAAATATAACAAAAATATGAATCAGTAACTAAAGCAGGTCACACGATCTTCAGTTAAACCCATAACCCGTTACTCAACCCGAAACCAATCAAAGATAGATTATGACCTTCAATGACGGGGCTCCACGTATCAATGGCGTATATCGCAAGGTCAAAAGTTGAGCGTTCTCTACGTAAAACATTTTTACTAATTGGCCAAAACTGAGAAGCTCTTTGGCTTCGAGGGGGCCCGGAGTTTATTGTTCAAAATATATTGCTTAATTACAAATTATATTATGATAAGCAATATAACCATATACACCGATTATGTTAATCAATTGTTGTTTTATACTCCTTGGAATAATACAGCTTATTTAAAATGTATGAAGCTTGAATAAAGAAGAAGCCTGATCTAAATTATTCTTCATGTTGATTGAAGATTATTGCTAACACTTGGGTAGCAATTAAGCCCAGTGATGTTCAATAGAGAAAAAAATAATTAGCATTTAAGTTTAATTTTAGAAGCAGACTCCTATATGTGGGCATACTGAAAGTCTCTTGATCTGGCCACTTACAATAAAATAAGGAAAAACAATTATGGAATTCGAAAATGGAACACTTCGGGGAACATGTTACCTTTTAATTTACGAGACTGTCATTTACTGTTTCATTGTGACGTCCTTTCAAAAATTGTGTGTCGCTATCAAAATGAATTTAACGTGTGAACATTTTCGTTCAATGATTTTTGTTGTGGCTTATAATTGGCGTTTTTTTAATGAAGCACCATGTCGCAGCTCTGTATATCCGTGGTTTGGAGAATTTAGACGTATACGTGATCACCTCCATTACGAGGTACGTAAAGGTCGGCCGGCGACTGCGGTTACAGACTCTAATATTGACACCGTACGACAACTTATTGAAACTGACAAAAAATTACTTGTCAGCAAATTGGCGCTTTGTTTGGCATTGGAATGACCCAAGTGCAAATAATACTATTTCTTTAGCTACGATTTGCAGTGATATTTGTATGGTGATCTGATATTAGTGTTTATTTTTTAAAATTGATGTAAAACTTTTGTTGTAATAAATGGTATAGTTAGGTGATGTAATCAGGGAAGGCCCGTGATGTCTGGGATACAGATTTCTTATCTAGTCCAGGCATAGATGCCCCAATTTAAATGTATCATGTACCCACAGTAATATTCGTATAACCAAGTACTATGCAAAAACACTGTTTATTGAATAAATTATTATTATTAATATTTAAAATGTGCTCTGTAAAATGTTTTGCACTTGAAGGTTCGGAATCTTTGCACTCGATGGATATCGCATGTGTGTGTACGTTTCCTTAATTTATACAGTGGTTTCAGCGGATGCAAAGATGCATTCATTGCGAGAGACATTTATTGTTTTTTCAAAGTATATTACTTTGAAAAAACGTACGTCACGTACATTTTCAGAGGACATATCTTTTATGTTGATTTATTGGCAATAACTAACCGTACCTCTTGTAGAAGAAGTCGAAGCATATATAGAGCTGTAACAAACTTGTATGTCTTAAGTTGGGAAAACAACACGGATCGTTGAGTCAAGCGCATGTGCTTAACGCAATGTTCTATTATTTTTCATAAGTACCCACATCGGTATATAATGAGCGAAAAAGTATAAGTTGCCTAAAAGTAACTGCAGTGAAGATGAAGTTGAGATGATACAACAAGATAAAAAAATGTTAAATATGGTGGCA